TTTGACTTTTAAAGAAATGCTAAACAACATTGCCTGTGATGACGACACAAGTACGCTTCTGTTCCAATACACATACGTGCTCGCGTTCTCGTCAAGTCCGATCTTCCTGCGTTCTCGCCAAGAACGGACTTCACGAGAACGCGAGTACGTACTCGCGTTCTCGTGAATTGAGAAACGCCCTAGATCTAAATACACTTAGCAGACCTAACATAATAAACACTTTTTTAACTTTTTAGTTCATATTTATAACTCCTCAGATAAATTATGCATTATTGACGAGGAGCACTTACTGACTCACATGATGTGTTTTACCAGGTCAGGTCATAAACATGCACGTGGCATAAGCACTGTCTGGTTGTTAAGTTATTTTGTAACCGCTTTAACGTAATTGAATTGTAATTGAAAAGGAAAAAACACCAGTAACACAACAAACAGTATAATTCATACAATTCATATAACTGATTTCATTATTAGATAAATGCTAAAAGTAGAACATAAACTACAACTACCTAAAGCCAACTTGATCAATTCACAGTCATTTCTTCACCATTTAGCCAATATAAACAACATCATGCAAATTCCTAAGACAGGGTGATTCATGGCACTCTTCACTTTGGGTCCGTACCTGCAGCGGAAATCAGGAGCACTCTTAGAAGGTGTAGCTGAGAGCATCCAGGCACAGAATCCATGAATGTGTTTATGCAGCACAGTCTGAGACAAAGCACCACACATGAGCATGGACTCTACTGGTTGGAGTAGTTCTGCTGATTGAGTCAGGGATGAAAGTGAATAAGGAGGGGCTGATAGAAAAAAAGGAGAGGGACGCTGTTGCTGGTTAGGTTTAAATCAAAAGTGTATTTCAGTCATAAGCAGCTGGTACACGCATCCACAGGAGACACGACATGCTAACAGCTTGAGTAAAGCACTCTGCACACGTCTGTCCTCCAGTATTGCATTTATGCCCAGTGCACCTGGTCATTGTCATTCATCGGCTGGCAGAGACAAAGTGATATCAACTCTCTGATGGTAAATTTAGCACTTAAGTGATCCAAATTAGGATTTTTGTGTTTTAAAAGAAAAAATCATAGTTTATTGTGTTTATAACAAAGCTTATATTAATTACTTAGTTAAATAATATGCTGCTGTCATTTTTCACTTCTCTGATGTTGCTGCTATTTTCAAATAACTGTATATTGGTTATTTATTCTCCAGGTTCACAGTTTTATATTGTTAAAACACTTTACTGTAGAGTATTTTATTGTTAATCTTTTAGCTCTCCATTATTTTGTTATCTTATAGATTTTTTCTTACGTCCATACTTGTGTGACCATTTTTTGCTGCTGTAAACACCAGAATTTCCCCATTGTAGGATAAAAAATGAATTTTCTATTCTATTCTATTCTATTCTATATTATAACATTTATAAAGTTACATTATTTTGTCTTTGAAACATAATGTGAAAAAATAACCCATGGTGGTCAAGAGAACAGTTGGTAATTACTGCTCAGATGCAGCGTAGCCTGTGTGATGACTGACTGGAGTCTACCGAGGCTACTTTATAATGTGGGTGCAAAAATTTTTCCGAAAGTAACACCTACTTCTTACTCACATCAACATGGAGGCATTACTAGGTAAGTAAGTAGGAGCTGGATAATTACAACTGATTCTTGTCAGTACTCATCCAAGAAGAAACTTGTCTTATTTCCTCTCCAAATCAAATATTTCTGTGTTCTGCTAAAACAAAGTAACAGAGTTGTAATGTCAGGCATTGTGCACAAGCACAATAACAATTCAATGCAACGGGAGCACTCACTGTAGTTCTTTGTGCACTTTTGATTCTCTCTTTGGGAAATATGGTGAAAAAATAGAGAGGTATGTGTATCCACACTGCAGCAGCTGCGGCGCTGATAGTCATACTGATACCATTATAAAAGGTCAGACAAGTATCTCAAAATGTTGTTCACCTGTTTTCCATAAGGCCAACTTTGGTACTTCTTGATCTGCAGCACTATAAAGTCTATGAATGGTATAAAAGCTTTCCAATAAATATCTCAATATAAATTGTCTAATATAACTTTAACCCAGCCATATAAAAATATTTACAGCATTTTAGGTATAATTACTTTTTATTGGAAAAATACAACTTTTTCTATACAAATAAATATTTTAGGGATAAAGATATGTGCATCATATATACAATCCATATGCTTCACAAGAGGCTCCACCTTTGTAAAATACAATAGGAATAATTTATCTTTTTATACAAATTTATAATTTAAAAAAGGCTGTATCTACAACCACATACAGTGCTTGCAACATTTCTTGCCACCCCTGGTAAAGATGCATTAACAACATTCATATAAATGTATGTTTTTTTGCAGCGCCACAATGAGACATCTTTAGAAAAATCCTGCCTTGATTTAAGCACATCTGTTTGGTATTCTGTAATCTGTTTAGCATTTAATAATGATGTTCCTAACAATCCTTTAAAGTAAGTATTCCCATTGAAAAAAAAATTAGCTATCCTCTTTACAAATAAGGGTTGATTCCTTTATAGTTATAATATGATTCCCATTCTATTAGCCACCATCCACTGTGCTGGACAATTACCCAGTTTATTTTGCTCACTGGGAAAGATAAAAGAACTTCTGCAAAATGTTTCTTCTGACAGTTCTGGTTCCAGAATGTATCATATATTTACATCACAAAATCTAATTTACGAGTTTACAAAGCTGTAATGGGACTTTAATACAAATTTAAGAATGAGCTCTAAATCTACCAACACTCTTAAAGAGTATGACTTGAAACAAAGAATGAATATTTAGGAAAAATACTAAAACCCAGAAGTACGGTGGGGGAACTGTGGTGATGTGGGCCTATTTTTTCTGTTGTTCCTGTAAAATGTTATGGCATAAACTTTTTTAAATACCATTTAGTAGAAATAAAATATGTTGTGCTATACTAAGGAAACTAAAATGGTTTGTAAAGTGGTATGAGGGTCTTGTTTTAAAACCTGATCAGATGAACAGACTGAAAATCTGCCTTTTCCAAAATAGACACAATCCCGAGATTCTTTTATAGAAAGCTTGTGCTGTGAGAGATTATTGTACTAATATTGAAAGTAATTTGATTTAAATTTAAAATATATATTACAATATTGTATTAAATAAGTATTCCCATTTAATATACTGTGCTGTAAGATCGATTTAGTTACCTCCGCCAAGGAGGTTGTGTTTTCTGCCATTTTTGAATGTATGTATGTGTTAGCACGATTACTTGAAAAGCTATAAATGGATTTTAATGAAACTTTTTCTCAGACCAAGCAACAATTCTTTAAAATTTTGTAATGATCCAGATCACGTGTGAGTTCTAGCTATAGGTATAAGTCATGATTCTTTTGTACTTTTAAGTTCTTTTACACATCTTTATCAGGGGGGCAATAAATATAGCTAAGAGGAAAAGTGTATCATTGTCGACAGTTCAACAGTTACATTCACGTTTGCACTGGGAGTGAAAATTAGGCTCATCAAGTCTAAATAATGCCTTTAAAGGCATTATTTAGACTTGATGAGTCTAAATAATGCCCTTTAAAGGAGATTGAGGAAGTTTGTAAGTGTGCGCCTGATGATTATCTTTTCGCACTTTTCGCACTGATCTTTTAATGCTTTGAGTTTAAGGTAATTCAAGGTTAAGTCTTGAGAGAGTCTAGAGCCACAGCGATGATCCTTGGCACACTGCGATAGAACGACTCATTCTCAAGCCCCACAAGACTGTAGAAGGTTGAGGGTCGTCCAGCTACCACGGCTCGGATCCGCGCCTGGTAAAGTCCTCGATCATTCTTTGAGGTCAGATCAACTAAAACCTGAGGAATGGCAAATAGATTTAAACTGCGATGCTAACGAAAATATCTTATAATACAAACAAAATTTGCAATATTTTACCTCTTGGAAGTTCATCTGCAGATTGTCGCTTGGTATGTTTAAGATCCAGCTGTATGACTCCTGGATTTGGCTAACTTGTTGGGCAGACTCTCTCAATCCGGGACAAACTACCAAGGAAGACGAATGCATTTCTGTTTAATTAATACGATAAGAAACATTTTTAAAACAAAGATAGAAATGTAGGATAAGTACTTTTCCCACTTTTTCCAGGGATCTGCCTCTTTTGAGGAACACTCCTGGGTCCTCTGCGAACACCTGATGACTTTCTCCCCCGTCTGGGGTCGGGGGTTTCTGTGTGAGCCATATCAACAGCTTTCTGGACAGCAGAAGTCAACAGATCCATGAGCGGAGCTGCTGAAGGTTTAAATTGCTCTCCATCCTGATTGACACCAAAATCCTCTAATGCAGTGTTCCTCTCACTAGAAACATCTCTACTTGAATGTTCTTCAGTTATCGATGCGCCATCATCCATAGTTTTGTCTTGCATTTGTAATTTCCCTAGTTCACCCAGCAAAACTGACAGAAGGGACCAGGGCTCCAGGGATTTTTGGGACAAGGATGATAGAGGAGAGTAGCCTGGTGTTATAGTTGAAGAAGGATTGATGGAAGAGCCCTCTTGAAAACGAACTGCGTCCAAGTGCAGAAGAGGAGGAGCTACTCTGGAGCCCAGCCTTGAGTGAAGACTTGAAATAACAGACTGATAATGTCCAGCCAGATGCTGCACCAAAGAGTCCTGTGTCTGTAAAGTAGAAACAAAGATGCCAAGAATTATGTAATTCCATGTGAAAAGAAGGTTAAAATCCAAAATAAACAGTGCAAATTAGTTCATTCAAACTTGTTTAAAAGCACTAATTACATGTTATGTGTTATAAAATGGAACTTTAATTCTGGTCTTTGGTGAATATTTTACACGAATTAACCTAAAAATTATGTTCCTGAAGTTTTAAGAATCCCTAACAGTGCATTCCTTTATGAATTTATATTTAAAATGTCTAAATATATAATGTGTTTATCGGTATGATGTCATTAATTAGGGGAGCCAAGCCCTTTAAAGTCAGTTAAAGCTGTTCTATATGAACTATCAGCTGATCCTAGACTAAAGTAACTGGAGGATCTACCTTATTTACACCATGGAAGTTAACACAAGACAGTTAGATTTCAAATAAAAGCCATCAATTTCCATTGTAATAGAGTCTATTAACATTATAACAGTGAAAAAGAGTAATTGAACACTTATAAAACGCTTACATCACTGCTCAGTCTCACACTTCTCTTAACGCACAACCCTGCTAGACTTTCAAAGTAAGACACAAGGGACTCTACATAATAAAAGCCTATCCATTATACACACTAATTTACTGCAGCATACAGCTCAACATTATGACCCAAACTCATCCAGTTTCTTGAAATTAGACTACCAAGTCCTTTTCACAACACACCTTAGTCCACATTTCAAAATAAAGCTCTCCCATTTACAGTATAATAAAGCATCTACTAACGATATAAAGAGGAAAAAGAGTGATTAAACAATTGTAAACGGATTCCAAAATAAAAACCTTAAGATTACACTCAGCAATTTTTTTTTTGGAGCATACAGTAGGGATCTTAATCATTACGCTAATCGCCACATGTCTGGGGACAGAAGTCGCCACTAGGTGTGGCAATGAGACACCAGTCACCACCAGGTGTTGCCACGGCATTCCCCATAAGTGGAAGCAACCGCAGATTCCAACAGGTATGGAAATGCCAGTCGGTATTAGGTGTGGTGATGTCAGTTGCTACCAAGTGTGGCGATGCAGTTTCCCACACCAGTTCCCACAAGGTGTGGCAACACCAGTCACCATCAAGTGTGAACAAGCAAGTTGTTGTGTCAACAAAAGGTTTCACGCCCCTGCTGAGCTGACCCGAACCAACCCATATAGCCTTTACTGGAGTAAAACAACTAAGCACCAACGGGTAGGCACCTCTAGAATTTCCTTGGGGAATTTTCTAGTTAAAATTATTCTGAAGCATTTTAAACATTTACATTTTACTAATATCACGTTATTATTTTCTCAAAAGTTACTTATAGTATTACAATATTTGTGTATAATATTTGTATGTATATTTTTAGACAACTTTTTACTTATGTTTGACACCCTTGCAATGAAGACCACTCCTTTCTGAATAACATATTTTCCTGCATTCCTGCTGTCAAAAGTGTTAGTATTTTGTACCGTTCTATAAATGTGGTAAGAAAAAGTTAGCAAATTTGTTTTAATATGTGTTTCCTTTTGCATGTATTTCATTATCAAAAGTCTGTTTTGGATCAGAACTTTGTAAAATGTCCTTCCTTAAAAGCTTTGGTTCCCAGAGACCTGCTGGACTTCTGACCCAGTCAACAGAACAAATACTCCTTTTCCACCAGCTCCATATGGTTTGTTCTACTCCACCTCGTCAAATTTTAAACGTTATCCATTAGTACTTCTTTAGTAGCAGTACTGCCTTTTCTCTGCCCTAATCAGGAGTTAGTACTTGCAGAGACGAGTAGGGCAGGAAAAGCCAGTACCAGTCCTGAAAAGACAGTAACGGATATGTTTAAAAATTGGTCGGGTGGAGGAGAGCTTGGCCAAGTAAAGCCGGTGGAAAATATGGTGGGTCAGTCCCTGAGAGATTTAAATAGATCCAGTGGAGACACAGGTTGCCAGAAAGGGACCCAGCACTCTGGGATTCAAACAGGCAACACCCCATCCAAGGCAGGCAACCTCTCACTGGTCATCCCCATGCTCCCATCAGAGACCCCAGGAAACCCAATACCCCTGGTTCCCGCTGAATCGGAACAGGATACACAGCAGAATAATCAGCGTTTGTGTGTTTGTCTTTGTTTATGTGTTTTTTTTTTTAATGTGGGATGTTGTTTTCTTTATTACAGTACTTCATTGAAGTGTAACATTTCTTAGATTGTGTCTTATCAATTCTTGAGCAAACAATCATACAGAAATTGTCTGCTGGCTAAGAGGAAAAAAAATTCTTCCATCAGACATTTGTTCTTATTGATTATTGCACTGATATAAGAACAAATGATGCACACAGATAGCCTGGCTGCCTATTCGCTTCCATATTGATTTTAAGACTATTTTGCTCACTTTTGAAATGTTAAAAGGTTTGGCTCCAAGTTATTGAACTATTCCTTACGTTTAAAACTCCAAAATAACACTGTAAGCTTTTGGTCAGATACTTTTAGCTCATCTAGCTAAATGGCCAAATTTGAACAAAAATAGGCTAAATGCCCTCTGATATCCCAGTAGTAGAAAGTTTAAATATCTATACTTTCCTGGTGTAATTATTTTTTAGACAATTTAGAAACCAAATAGTTAGTTTTGTTTCATTTAAGCTAATTTTGTTATGTCTAAAGCTTCTGTCCTTAACATTTTTCCTAATATTATGTTTACTTTGCACTTAGTTTTTAAATGGTATTTTTACACTTTTACTTGAGTAAAAAAACTCAAGTTGATTCTCTAAGTTCTACAAAACTGTTTTAAACAGTAAGATTTATGCTTCTAATTGAGTGATAAACTATATTAACTATTGTACTAATACTTTTGACACCTCTGCATATAAATTAAATTGATATTTATATAGATAATGCTTCATGCATTGTCTTCCTTTCTTAAATAATGACACTATTTATGTAAATTTTGTCAGTAGTTGTTGTTTTTTTAATCTCTCCACAGAGAAAATATTGCTGTTCAGCAAAAAAAGAAAATTTAAAAATAATTTCCTTCGGTATGTTTTTAAAACAAACAAAATTACCTGTAGAAAAATCTTTTCTTCATTACTTTTCACTGCAGATGAAGTGTCTGTAATTCCATCCTGGTGTTTATCCAATTCATCAGCTATGCTTTTCAGGTGTTCCTCCCATTCATCCACTGAAGGACCTACATATCCAAATAAAGCTGGTGGAGAATGAGGCGGTTCCTGTGTTGCTGGTGTCACAGCTCCACCTAGCTGTTCTGCAAACAATGAATTATGAATTACAGACCAAACATGATGCATGCATATTCAATGTAATGAGCTTTTTTATTCTTGATGAAACAGATTGGTGCTGTAACATGATCTTTCACACCTGTACCTTTAATCCAAGTAAGACCGAGGTCTCTCCTCTCTCTGTTGTGTGTAAAAGCTGCACTGTATATATGCTCCACAAGCTGAGGGAGAGTCTGAGTGAAGAAAGTCAAATCCATTTTGTCTCTAATGTAGTCTTCTGCCCTCTGAAGCAAATCCAATAGTGTTTGAAGGAAGGCGCGTAACTCTAAAAGTAAGAGAAGGAAAAACATCAGGATATATGACAAGACAAATACGTATAATATAATGAATTTTTGAATGGTGCACTCACGGCATTTTTTGAAGCGGGTGAGGCATTTCTCCTCAGCTATCTGACTGCATGCACTGGCAGACTGACCAGGAGGACAGGGCAGAGTGTAGAAGTGACAGAGAGAGTTAAACTCAGACCTCTGCTGAGCTTCTGTCATGTCTGTTGTTTTCAGTAGTTCTGGACATGTTGGCTCTCTGCTTCTCAATGATTCTGGTAGGATTACAAAGTGTTAGATAAAACAGACAACCCGGTAAATGAATCTCTTTGATGATATTAGCAAAAAACAGTGGCGAGTTATTGCTGCTCAAGACTCACTCTGAATCTCTGCCTGAATCCAGTCAGAGAAAGCGGACACTCGTGTGTACACCCCAGGTTTGCCTTTTTCTCCACAGCCGTCCCCCCAGGAGGTGATGCCAGAGAGCTGGAAGCGACCTGAAATACGATCTTGGTAGATAAGGGGCCCTCCAGAGTCCCCCTACAGATGATAAAAAAACAGGTATAAATATTAAAAAAGGTTCTTTCAACTTTCTTAGGGTTCTATTCAATGTGTTAATAGCATATTAACTAAGCTTTTGATGAAAGTATACAAGGTATTAGAGAAGCCATACAGAGGGATATTGTAGGATAAAAAAACTGTGACTCTGCCAACCTGACAGGAGTCTATGCCTCCAGAGAGATAGCCAGCACACAGCATAGTGTTGGTAACCAGTTCTTTTCCAAGAGCGCTCTTACAGGTGCTCTGAGGAAGCAAGGGAACCTTAGCCTCCATCACCACGTCAGCAGAAGGCCCGTCTAAAATACAGACAACCATGCTTTAGATAAAATAGCATTTAAAGTAAGGAAGTATGTTTTCTTCATTATACTTTCTTATATTTAATTACTCCAAATAATGTTTAGACATTTCAATTAATATTTGGAATTGAGTAGATTACTTTCTTCATCTCTATTTTTAGTATAAGCCCAGCTGAAGCTGAATTGACTGTCTTGTTACAACTTCAATCTAAAGGTCATATAAACTTGTTAGTAGAGGAAGGAGGTTCATCATCTGTTCCTGATTTTCCAGTGTGAAACATGAGATGTTAGAGTGGAACACTGGCTCCCATTGTAATTTTCCGTCATTTTTGAAAGATTCATTAAATAGCATTAGTGTAAACATCTTTAGCGTTTGTTTTTTAGATTGCAGATGTGTTGAGTCAGTAAAAGTCATGTTCATGAGGTTAGCATCTGTCTCCAAGACAACAGATCTCAATTTAAAATGCTTCTTAAGAAATCCTGGACATATTTTAAAAACATGTAATGATGAATGTTCGCAGAAACCATGAAGAGATGGAAAGCAGACTTACAATTTCAATATTTCAAAACTTTTACCTTCTCTAACCTGGCCAAAGAGACAACAATGTTGTACACTTACCTTCATAGAGGGACCCCCAGCCTGCCACAAGACATGGGCTGCCTGTTGGGGGGTCCGTGGCAGTAGGAAGGCACACTGGTGTCACATATTCAGACAGGACGACAGGAGATGTCAGCTCCACCAGGGCTATGTCGTTGTTAAACGTCTTTGGATTGAACTGTTGGAAATTTAGATAATTTAATTTATTACAGGGTTCTGGTGGCTAAACTTATTGTTCATTATTATATAAGGAGAGTTAATTGTTTGCACCTTAGGATGGGGGATGATTCGGTTCACTTTAAGAACCTGCTCATCAGGGTCCTTCTTGGTGATGTCAAACTCGCCTACGACGGCTGTCCAGTAGCTCTCGCTGCGGCTGCTAGAGAGAAAAGATTGGAGCAAAGGCGATGTCGGTAAGGCACCATTCCATCACATTGTTGTGTGTTTTGTAGGAAGCAACAGCAAAAAATGCAGGGATTAATAGAATAGTACAGCTTAGGTTTGGTGAAGAGAAGGAATAAAAAAAAAACATAACAAACATTAGAAAACCGCTAATAGGTGATACAAAGTATCTTGTTAACAATATCTTTAACTAATAAGTGGAAACTTGAGATAAAAACAAATGTTTAGAGGTACAGGCAAAAGGAAACAGCAGTTTCTGCACATTTCAAGTTTTCAGGATGTTTTAGTTTGCAGCAGCGTGGAAACTAAATGTCTCCCTTTGTTAAGTCCTTCTTCTTGGACCACTGAAGTAAATGGTCTATGATAACCTGAGGCTCAACATGGTTTATACCCGGCAATCAACTCTAAAATGTACTTACACTCTAAATAAGATAAAATGCAGCTTCAACTTAAATGAATTGATTGAATTGGTTTTCCCAACTTAATGTATTTAAGTTTTCAACTTATAAACTTAATAAATTAAGTTGGATTAGCTTTATTCAATTACTTGTTAGAATGAGTTTATTGAAGAAATTTCTGACAAATCCAGTTATTTCTATATTTGGCAGACTAAACACTGAGTGTATTGGAATGGATAGAGAAATATAAAGCAGAGTATCAATAACATATACATGGTAAGGGGTGGTGGTGTCAAAAACCAGAAGTAGGGGAGAAAGTAAAAATCAAATAAAAGTGGTCCAAGAATAAAGCTTTGAGGAACTCCAAAATGATTATTTTCTATTAGACTGATTTTTTTTTTTGATGGGTAACAAATGATCCGAAGTTGCCTGGGTCCAGTGGTCTTAACCAATTCATCAACCCTTTCAGTTAGTAACTTATGATCAACAGCAGGATGGAAACCAAATAAAAATCAAAGCACCTACCCAGCAAAGCAATGAGCAGCAGTTGCCACCCAGGAGCTGTCCACCAGGACCCCTCCACACATCAGCTCACCATTGAGCTGCAGGTTCACCAACCAGGGCCAGCTCCCTAGAGGTGCAGGGGAACCACCAACAATCCTCGACCGGGGCTGTGTGATGTTCTGCACTGTGAAAGACCTCTGACCACACGCTGCTGTGAAGACAGACAGATGCTTAAATATATATTAACACAATGTACTCTAATAGTCCCGGAAAGGGATTAAAATCAGCGAAATATGTGTCTTACCTTGAGCATGTGACTGCATATCAGGTTCTAGATTCTGCATCGTGTTCAGCAGGCTGCACTGGAGAACGCGGGCACTACAGCTCTCACCCATGATCCGGATGCAGCTCTCAGTATTGAGCTCATTTGGTAGACAACGATGCTGATAGTACCCACAGGCCTGACTCAGAGCCCAGCTCCGCTCGGCCTCATCCTGAAGCTTCTGGGCTTTACTGATCACCTCACAGGTGGGCTCTAATAAGGCACCAGAGGGTGTTGCTAGCGAATATTGAAGTAGAGGCAGCTCAGTAACAAAAACATGGAGGTGAAGACTAAAGAATAGCAGCTGATACAGGTTAGTAGGTATACTCACAACAGGATCCTGATAGCTGTCCACAGTTCTGAAACAAGCAGGGAACACAACCTCTGCAGCTTGCCTCAGCCCGACTTCGATCTGATGATGCACGCTCAAGAGCAGACAGGGCGCTCGCCATGGCAGCTTCCAGAACAACTGTACCTCGATCAGACAGAGCTGCAAAACAAGACAAGAAGTTTAAGTTTTAATGAGATTTATCACCTATCATCAAACAATTGGTTAAATAGGAAATAAAAACAAAAATTGAATCTAATTTAATCAAAGGCAGATCAATGTTCTGTATATGCTTCGCATAAATGCAGAAAATTGATTTAATGTATCCCCATTTTACAGTTAGTCAGTAGCTCTGCTCAGTACGCATTAAACAATTTAAGTTGAATTTTATATAAAACAAACCCACTTATGAAATGTTTTATAAGTTTACAAACAGTTCCACAAATGTTAGTTCAGAGAAATATTACCAGAGCTGTACAGGAAGAAACAGCATCTGGGCAATCCATTGAAAAACAGCCATTAGCTATGAGAACATTGTGTACATGTGAGCATCAGCATGGATTCAGCATATTTGTGTGTGGGTGTGTGGCCCCTCTTTTCTCATGCTGCTTTTTGAGCTCATTGGCAGCATTTTGAGGGGAGCTAGCTCACGCTCATCCCGCCACTGAAGCTTCTCGTACAACCTTCAATCGCGCCGCTGACCCCTCAGCCCTCCCTCCTTTTCTGTGCTTTGCCACATCACAGGATAGGACCACTAACAACAACAATGCTGACTGAGGACTTAATTAGAAGGCCAGGGCTGAGTTTTGGGACAGGCCTAAGGGCACTGGCTGGCAGGCCTGAAGCCAACTAGATCCCATAGACGGTGCATCTCTCATTGCTGCAGTCATGTTTGAAGCCTCAACGGTATCCCTGCAGAAAAACCTGAACACTGAATCTAATAAAGATTATGAAATGATAAAAGTTTTAGTTCCTCCTTGGAGAGAAAGGAAAGTGCAAATGTTTCAAATAGGTGTGAGTAGATTAAGTGGTTAGATACCACTAAAGAGAAAAAAGATTTCCAAACAACTGTCCTTACAGTAATAAGTGTTCTTAACGAGATTCTAGGTGAATTAACAGAATGAACGTCCCATAACATTTTAGTAGAGAATAGAGTAACATTGCTTTCTACACCACACTTGTTGCTGTGCACTGCTGGGCAGCTAGCTTAAAGAGCAATTTCAAATGTTTACAATTGATTCCAGCAAAGACATTTTCAGCTCTATAAATATATTTACCTCCACCTAGAAAGTAATGTTTTCATCGCCACTGGTTTGCCTGTTTTTCTGTTTTCAGAATAACTAAAAAATTTATTGATGGATTTTGCTGAAACTTTCAGAGGAGGTGCGTATGATGCTAGCAGTAAATTACTAAATGGTTGGGTTGGTCCGAATCACCATCTGGATCCAGGAATTTTAAAAGATTCTGTGTATACAGGTATTAACTTAAGGTGAAAATCCCAATATGTCGGGGGAAACAAGCTACTTGGAGGAGGTCTGCACTCTACGAAAAATCATGTTCCCACTAAATCTGAAGCTGCCATATGGTTTACTGGTTACATCTGTATTGATTAACATAGCTTAGGTTAGGGTGGAAATTCCAGTTCCCTGGGGGCGGTATCCTACAACTTTTAGATGTGACCCTGGTTCAACAAACCCCAATCAAATAAGTAGATTATTGAGAGGACTCTGGAGGAAAGGACTGCTTACTAATTAGGTAACTCAGCTATTTGATTCAGGTGTGTTGGACCAAGGATGGATCTAAAAGTTGCAGAATACCAGCCCTCAGGAACTGGAACTGCCCACCTCAGGGTTACACTATGGATTTTTTGGTTTAGGTTATTATATAACAACCACATATAATAACCACATTATTATATTTTCATCTACATTGAGATGTCATATGTTATGTTTATTCAACACTAAATAATTTGACCAAACACATACTGGTTCAGTGGTTTATTTTCACTTTTGTGCACATCCCTGTCAATCATTTGACTTGAAAAGTCAGAACACAAAAACCAAAGCGATGTCACTTTGGTTTTATAGCATTTTCATAGTAATGGTTAATGTTTTGTAACACACAGCATCAATATTACTATCTTAGCTAAGCTACAGTATATATAAACCCAGTTGTTAGTGTGTACCTTAAGTTAATTCAATATCAAAATTCACACTCCTCAGAATGAACTAACATTTAGATTTTCTACCGACAGAATATAACAAGTATAACTTCTCACATGGCATTGTACATTTTATAACTGCTGAATTAAGAAAAAGTACCTTTGAGAGCGCTCTGGGGCATCCTGTAGACTTCTTTACCTGTTGGGGCTCCCTGCAAACAATCCAGCCCCATAAGCAGCAGTGAGATGAACAGTAGCAACATAGCGCCAGAGCATCAGACTTCCAATCCACCTTGACAGCAGGCAAACAGATTGGATATTGGCAGAATGAATGAAGAGGAAGCAGAGGTGATGGAAACTAGGCTGGTCTGTAGAGTTTCCACGTCCTTATGGTCTGGGGGCTCTGTCTCCCTCCTACTGACTCTCTGGGCTCTCTCCCGCACTGTGATGCAGGGCATCTGTCTGTAAGGTACTCGGAGGAACAATAGGCGCCTGAAGTGGTCCCTGGAATATATATGGAGTCCCCGAGGGAAGACCAGAAAGAAGGGGGGATAGGGAAGGGAGGGAGTGATGCTCCCATGGCCAATGCACAAACAGATGAATTCATTAAGACTATGACAGCAAATCAAGCACAACTTGCCAAGGCTGACCATCACAAAGCGGTTTGGTTTTATGAAAGGAGACAGAGGGAGGGAGATGCAGAGACGCAGAAAGGCGGGGGGAGAAGGGGTGAGGACAGGGATTGGCTGGGCGGAAGGGAACGGGGAGTTGTTTGAAATAATTAGTGTGAGAGAAAGTTTAGTAGAAAAGGATATGCAATGATGTGACATGGAGGAAAATGCTCCTTAAGGAAACACTAAAGCAAAGAGCCCCAACTGGATTTAAAGTGAGCTGGATCCAGAAGGTGAGTGAGTTTTTGAGAGAGAGGAAAGTGTCTGCCATTCGTGTCCCTCAAAGAGGGCATTGTCCCTTGCATCTCTCTGAGGATACCCACATCAAAGCCGGCCCCCGGGCATCACTTGGCTGCCGCTTCCATTGATCACTTACAGTCTTTTGTTTCTCCCATTAAAATATTGTCAGTTCACATCACTTTTGTCTTTCTCTGCTGAACTCTGCTTTTGTTACATAAAGGTACTGTAATGCGCTGCTTACAGACATGAAGTGATTTCAGGAAAAACATTATTCTATAAGAAAAAACTTTGACTTATTTTTAAAGTCTGCTTTAGGATTATCTCAGCTAATGTGTACAGTATTTAGAGCTAATACTAAGTGGCTATAGTGAAGTTTCTGCTCGTAACTCCTTAAAATAACTAACAGATTGGAAACTTTATACTTTGATTTGCAGTCGGCTTTTTTTGTATACTTCTGCTTGAGAAATATTTCCGCATCATGTCACCTTCACTGCAAGGTGAAACTGAGAAATCTTTGTAGCCGTGTCTGTATATTTATTTTATCTTCTTTTTATTTATTCAAAAATGTTAGATTTCAAATACAAAATACATTTGACCCATTTTTGGATCAAAACAGTACAACTGAGAGTATATAAATAAAGTCATACAGTTAAATACTGATATAAATCAGCAGACATTCTAATAATAACATTCTCTTAATGTTTAAACTGCAGAAATATTTGGAAAATTTATTAAAAAAAATAGATTGATTTGCTTGCAGGCTGCAGATCCAGTTGTTCTCAGTATGGAAAAAAATAAGTAAACAAAAAGCTCTACTTTCCACAGACTGTTCTGGAGCCTCTGAAGATGAATAAGCAAAGAAGAACAAATAGAGTATGTGACTCAGTTATCAGCATCCACTTTACAAGAGCGTGATACAACAGTGTCTTAAGTCAGGGATCCACTGTGTACAGACCACTACAGGGTTCCTCCCTGCAACTCTTTGCAGAAACTTGTAAAATCTAATTTACGGACTTTCCTTTCCCTTTGGGATTTGTAAAGTATTAATGAATGGGAAATAGACCCATATTCTAGCAAAGTGGATGTTATAAAGAATGACATCGGAATCCAATATAACCTCTGAGCAGGAATGTGATAAACTGTTTGCAAAAATAGTTTCTTTACTCTTCTTTGACAGCAGCATGCAGGTTTTGTCTTTTTGACTTGTCTGTTCTTTAAAAGTTTGAAAAAGAGTTAAGCCTTCAGACCTGAAACATGAAAGAATAAACTTCATAATTTCTTTTGTTTTCTGGGTATGATTTGATCTTCCCCAGCCCCCCTCGGTGGCAGGATGGCTGTGAGATCTGAGAGATCAGGCGGAGCGGAGTGGGAACGGCATGGGCCGACCGGGCGGCTCTCTTTCATTTCTCCTTTTTCTCTGCTCATCTGCCTTTGATGTGGTTTGATTAATTTGCCTTCTGCTCACTCTCTCTTCTTTTCTCCCCCAGGCATGGACAACTTTCTTTTTTCCACTGCCAGCTTGCTTCAGTGTCTATATTATCTTCTGACTTCATTACCAGTCATACACGTTCAACGATGTTGGTTTTTTCTTGATATGACTGTGTCAAAACCATGTCTTTCTAGTAGACAAGTCAATGTGTAAGAGAAAAGCTCTTTATATGTAGGAAAATAGACATGTAAGAGCTCTTCTAAATTTGTAATCAGCCAATAATAGGCAGGAATTAGTCCTGCAAGTGGAGGGTTGCTGGTACAAGCTCCACCTGTCTCAGTTGTTCTGTCCTTGTGCAAAACACTTCACCCACATTGCCTATAGATGGTGGTCGGAGTGCCAAAGCACTTTGGAATCCCCTAACTAGAAAAAAATGTCATATACGTAAGTATAGGCCATTTAACATTTGTTTAAATTAAGATAACTAGTTATCCAATACGTTTCTGTGCAAAGCTATTTTTGGCAAAGGCTAACCAAAAACCCAACATATTCAATGACAAACCCAGCTTTATATATTTCCATCACTCATTTCTTTTTCTCGTTAGAGAAACCATTGCAAATGTTCTTTTAATAAGTGAAATTGTAGATTCACTAAGGACCAAACTCAATTAAAAGGCTTTATCTAATTTTGATCTACAGTTAAAAATATATCCCATTGTGTGAAAGCTCCATAAAGATCTAGACTGACAAAGAAGTGAACCCAGCAGTAATTCTGTGGTCTCATCCCAGGATAGGAGCTTTTGAAAAGCAGAGTTCATTTATTGACAGCTGTTCATAAACTCTGAAAAAAGGCTGAACACTGAAACTGAATCAAAAGGCTCTTCAACGAGGTTTTAAGGATGTACACGGTTATTCATCCAACCTTCTACAACTTTGTTTTCTTCTCAAATGAAATATAAAGTGAATATGTGAAAATAATTGCAATTGTTTTTTGTGGTCTCATTCGTACCGGTACATTAACAAACAGTGATATTTAAAGAAGGGTTATTAGTGGGTTTTAACCCGCTGCAATAATACTTTCATAAAATAAGAAAGTCTGAAGACTGCTCTGAAAAAAAGGACAAATTGAATTGTGTGCAGCAGGTATGGCCCAGCTTTAAGGGTGTGTGTAATGATGCCTACAGTTGTAGGAACACCATAAATAAACAGATTTTCTTTCCTTAAAGAAATATACCAATTTTTTTTCCTATGTTCTGACATAGAAAAAAAATGTATAAAAATAGCTATTTATAAGGTTTGGTTCATAAATCTGAAAGACTGGATTCTCTTACAAGTTACTTAAAAATAACAACAACAACAAAAAATGCTCAGTACAAACTCAGTGTTAACAATCAGCACCTTAACAACATTCGTGTTGAATAACACCCAGCCATTGTTTTTGGTTATGAAACCAATTCTTCCATTGTTTCCAAGAGAAAACAATTAAAAACTGGGTCAGTGGGGTACGCAAGAGAGAAGAGGCTCCCAACATTTCTACACAGGCAGACACTTGAACTCCCTGACAATAGTTAAGCTGAAACATCATGTCTAGATGAACCTAAAACTGGTCTTTGTTGATAACTGGACTCAAAAACCAGTTTAAATGGAGTTAGATGGACACTAAACTTACATTAAGTAGAGAGAACACTGGTTTGATAGAACAGGTGTTGGAAAAATGTCAGATTGTTTATTATGTCAAGGAATTATTATTTTAATGTTTTTAAACATGCATATCAATTATGAAATCATATTGAAGCAAAAGAGGGAATACAATAAAACATTTAAAATTATGTATTTATATTAACTATACAAGGGAATCTTAAAGATGTATAAACACCTGCAGTATCATGTCTGTCCTGCAACCCCAGTAGGAAATCTAGTAGGACAATGAGAGAAGTTCTCGAAAAATACTGTTTGACATGATTTGAGTGTACATTTGTTCACTTATTAATCACAAGTTTAAAAAAAGGCACCATTATGTTCTTTTTTTCTTCCATTTTGTTCTTGAAGTAACTACTTTTCTCTGTCTTACTGATATTAAATTCTGTTAGACTATTAAATATGGCACACATCAGGTCTATTTTTTAGAGTTTAGGTCAAAAAGAGGTGATTCTCAACTTTGTCTATTTGAAGTTTTGTTTATTTAGTGGGTATAACTGTCAATCTTCCCCGAGCAATGAAAAGCTCTATTTACTGTCTTTCAAAGTTTGCAATTATCATAGTTTCCATCATGAATTAATGAATAAAGGACTGATAAATGAGTGAAGTTGTACTACAATTATATTTTGTGTTGCATTTGTATTTAAAAAAGAAATAAAGAATTGTTTTATTAATTAGGCATGAATAAAGATCCTATTGAGTTGGAAAATAACACAGATTGGTTGATAATGTTGGTTCCTAGATAGCATTAAATCCAGTGAACTGAAAAAGGAGGATAATTACATAAAGGGATGCTGGTTCATTACTAATAATCTTCAGCTGATTTGAGAACACTGACATCTAGTGTTTTCTCTAAGCCTTCTCTAAGAAATTAACATTTTACAACATACAAAAGAAAACATGGGACCAAATGGGAACACAAAGCAGGCAACAAGGACTACACAATCAGACTGGAAAAACTAAAACAAATCTTAAATACATCTTTAGAAAAGAATGTCTATATTTAGGCTATAAAACATTGAATCTAAAAAATCTTTGGCTTTCCATGAAAACTTTTTTCAGCAGCCTTTTCAAAATAGTAATTTAACTGAAATGTTCTTATTTACTGTTTTCTAATCTATGGGTATTATATTAAATTAAACTGTACAGAAAAGTAATTGTTTTAATCAAATGTCAAGTTGGAAAAAACTTCACAGTGAATCTGAATCTTAAAGAGCATTTTTTGGACAAAACTCGATTTTGTTCTTTGATTTTTCTGATTAATCACCAAGAAAATAAAGCTGATCTCATAATAAAATAGCTGAGTGAAAAAGTGAATACATCACATTAGTTTAAGAGAATATAAAACTATATCCGGCAGCTATAATTGATATCATTTCATTTCTTATTTGATTTTTTTAAAGTCCTGCATCTTCTTAAGAGGCATTGCTTTCATGATGGCTCTCTTAAGGTCCAAAAGGTTCTAGGGTCTGAATGGGACATTTTAGTGTTTTAGTCATCCCTCTTTAGAGTTGCTTCAGGGGTGTGCAGGTGAAGCAGCGGTTAGTGTGCACGACCCACCTATGGAGGCCTTAGCCCTTGATGCGGCTGACCGGGGTTTGATTCCGACATGTGGTCCTTTGCCGCATGTCTCTCCCCCTCTCTCATGCCCCCCTTCCTGTCAGTGTACTGTGCAAAAATCAAGCCAATAGTGCTGCCAAACTCAAGAAAAAAAAAAAAGAAGAATTGCTTCAGCTTGGGATAATTATTTAATTCCACACACAAGTTTGAGCCCTAGTCTTCATCAGATGAATACCTCTGTATGTCATGAAGCCAATAAAAAGCATTACCCCTCCAACACCATGCTTGACTGGTGCTTTTGTTGATTTGATGTGCTTGGATTCCTTCTCTCAACGCAGTGTGAGTTATATGCAAAACTATCTCCTCTACTGTTGTCTGTCCAAAGAAAAATATCCAGACGTCTTGCATGTTAAACAGATGAAACTTTGAACATATAGTTATAATTTTATAATATTTATAGAAAATACATTTTAATGTTTCAAACATTACATATTTAATCATCCAGTCATGAAATTTTAAAATTTAATACAATAAGGGCTACGGTAGTTGGTTCTGATATAGGGCTCCATTTTTTTCTTTTTTGTTGCAATTATCAAAAATACTAGAAACCTTTATATTTATTTTTATTTATTTTATTTATAATCAAATTTGCATCTTTATCAAATATTGTACATTCAGAACGAAGTAGAAACAAAGTAAAATTCCTTGCATCCACAAACCTGACTAATAAAGCTATTTCAGTTTTTTTTGTTTTGTTTTGTTTGTTTTTTGCAAATTATTGACTGTTAGTGATTTGAAAAAGGCCTTGTAACTTTCCCAGATTGATGGTGGCAAAAACTTCTTTACTAAGGTCATTAATGGTGCTCTCTATATTAGCATTAGGTTAATATACAAATCTATCTTCTCCTGACCAGCAAATAAAAAAACTCCCTCCTTTACTGCTGTATGTAGGTCTTGATCATTTCAACTCACAACTAACAAAAAGTGAATAAAAAGATAAATTTTTTCGTCCAAAGCTGCATGTTTCTTTCTTGTTAAATCACAGTCAGTGATTTAAAACATCCATCAAACTTAATAAAGTATTGATACTTGTTAATTTTTGTGGTTTTTTAGTGGTTTTAAATCTAATGCTACTCAAAATGTCAAGCGATGCTGATTTTTTAATCACACTCTCCCAAATAGAAAGACTGAAATGCAGAAAAACACAATTACACTTCAAAACAGATTCAGAAAGTGGATAAAATAAGATAAAAAAAAAGGCCACATGGTGGCAGTACGGGACAGAAATGAGAAACATTAAAAACTACCAGCTACTCAATGATAGGCAATGTTAGCAATGAAAGTATTTCTGCTACACTGAAATTGCCTCAGACTTACAAGAAAAAGTGATAATATATAAAATATAGTCACACTATATTGCTGTAGCTCAAGTAAATGCAGCAGGGACATCATAACAGAGGCTTGAGTGCATCACAGAGGGATGTCTACTATTATTGTGACCTTTTTAGTCCCCTTTTCTCTTTGTGTGTCTCCCTCACTCAGGCACAATACACACCTGCAAGAAAATCAAATGATACCTTAAAAGCAAAATACCAACGTTCTGTTCTATCCAGAGAACATAGATAGGTTTTGTGTATGATTGTTTCTTTTTTTTTTTGAAGTGACAAAATGAACGTTCTGTAAAGAAATGTGTGAAATCCATGAAAATAGACATTTAGAATAAACCTAAAGGCAAATTTCTCTCCATCCTGGTAACTGTATTTTTCCACTGTACTGTAATATTTTGGAGCCATTAAAGAGGAGACAGGAGGTCTAGAAGACTGTAGGTATCACCTACCCCTGTCTGCTGCTGTCTGACTGACCTGTTGGAGGAGGCTGGAGGCTCATAGCCAAGCCATTAGCCATGAATTATGGTGCTGCTACCATCACAGCCAATTGTCTGGATGTAAAGCAGACTCTGCCTCTCTTACCGTTGTCTGTTAGCTTGTAGCTGAGCAGCAGGTTCAGCATCATGGTTTTATGAAAGCTTGTTTGCTCAGGACAGATGCAGGTAAGCAGATGACTTTTATTAGGATCTAAGAAATTGATCTAAGCTCATAACCTATGGATTACAGCCACTTTTCCATTTGTCAGATTTCCCTTAACCAAACCCAAATTATATGTACCTTCCATAAATTGAAGATATAAATCAGTTTAATTTTAGTTTTGCAAAATAAAAAGAAAACTTTCAAGAATGCAAATTACGTTTTACACTCAAGCCTATGTATTTTTTCTTGTAAATTGACTTTTGTAGTGAGGGACAACTGGTATATTTGTAGAGGGAGGGGGACATCGAAAGAGAGAGAGGAGAGAGCAGCATCTCCTTAGCAGCAAAACCTCCTCCAAACATATAACTGGAAAACCCAGGAGCAGATGTGTTGGTGGAGTGATGCGGAGACTGGGTGGACGCTGGGGTACATTATCTGATGCAGCACTGAAGAGTGGAGTAAGTTTTCAGCAATGCTTATTTTGCTTCTTATGTGGGGTTTGAAAAAATTGTGTAAGGTAGCTGCAGTGTTTTTTATTCCTCACTGTGTGTCTTCAATGCCAGGCAATTGTCAGGCACATTAAACCCACTTTGTAAATACAGAATATTTATTTTGCAGGTTCTGCTTTGTTATCTAAATGCTAATAGTTTGCATGTGTGCTGAGAATTTTTGTTAAAAAGTGCAGTTAATCCTTCCAAAAATTGGAAATATCCTATATATTTTGTTCTGAATATAAGTATTAATATAACAGCAAGAAACTAAATGACAACAGAATTCTACTTTAGCTTTGGTCAACATTTCAGTGTTTCATAACGCCAAACATCTAAAACAAAATGGACAATAAATGTTTTTTGATGTTGTAAAATTGTCCATACTATGTTTTTGTTTGTGTATCTGCATGTTTTACCCACAAATTTCCCTACTTAGGAACCAAAGTGTATATTTTGAATCTGCTCTAAAACAGGCAAAGATCCTTATAAAATGTTTTCATAATGATTCAATTTATCAAAAGCATCCAAACCAACATGGGACCATATAAAATTGAAATTGACCCTGTTTATAAATCATTAAATAACCACAGATATTGTTCAGTTACAAAATCCCAATTATCTAGGCCTGTTTACTGCCAGCAAACTTTAGAATCAGGGAAGTGCTTCAATAGTAACTGTCTAGCGATATGAAGTAGGCTATAGGATGTCAGAAAGCAATGCTCTAAGTCACAATTTAATGAAATTGAAAAACAGGTGAGAAATTAATTCAAAAATGTAATACACCAGAAAGAATGAAAGGCTTTGGAACAAGAATGAACCACGAGGAACCATCATAAACAAATGGAGAAAACACGAAGAGTGGTGAACCTTCCCTGTAGTGTCGGCTTAACAATCCTACTCAAAGAACACATCAATTACGTGTCTAATTGAACTAGATTTACTTATTATCAGTTCAAAACAAACAGATCCCAAAGCAATTACATACATTTCTATTCATTTCAATCTGAATATTAAACACCACAGTCAAGCTCAGGTTACTAGGCCAGTTGGTGAAGGTTTAGAAGAAAATCCAGCTAACTGCATAAAGTCAATGGCTCAATCTCAATTCATCAAATTAGCATGATTAGTGCTGTCCAAATTGTGCTGGCAGTAAGGAAGAAGGTACATGACTGACAATAGGTAAGAAGGTACTTTACCTATTGTCACTTATGTGCAATATTCTGTTATTGCAATAAGTGAGTACATCTCCGCAGGGCAAGTGCAATAACCCAAGTCAAATACTGTGTAGTCTTCCGTCTGCTTTCTAATGTGCAGATATTTTTTATATCTAAGGGAAACATATTCCAGGACATTACAACTTTTTTCTTTTTTTTATGATTTTTTTGTACTATATACAATCTTTTATATTGTCTGCGGTATTTTTAACTTTAATGTCCCAAAATTGACCAACATTGTCCATGAGTGTTTCTGCTGTGCAAGGCTAAGGTCTTTCTGTATTCTGCACAGCAGACCTCAGTTTCTTTCCTACCCAGATAGACTTCTTTCTCTTGAAAGACATGAAAGGTGAAAGAACAGGAATTAGGACAAAAAATTAGACATATTTGGATTTAACCACTGATATTTAGATAATCTCTCCTTCTGAACAAGCATTCACCAACAGCAGACATCTCTTTGCATGATGTTAACTTGACAGTAATCCCTTATACTTAGCATGCAATTAGAAACGGTAGAATGGAAAACCTCCTTTAAAGAGGAAAAAAAACCTGCTGTAGAACCAGGCTCAGTAATATTGGCCAAATGCTGCAAAGGGCCGGGTGTTTCAGATGACAGAAAGGAAATACACAGAAGCACTGATTCAGGAATATTCTCCATGCTAAACCAAGAGAAAGGAGCTAATCATATTAGCCAGTGAGCCAGTCATAAAACCTAAGCTGGTCTCACTGACCTCATAGTGCAAGCGTTCATGACTTAACAAAATTGAATAGATTAAACAAAAATGCCATTTATGGGAAAGTTCTAGGGGGGGAAATCACTGCTGATAAAAAAGAACACAAATGATCATCTCAGATTCCCCAAAAGCCTCCCGATAATCCCTAACACTTGAGATTTGAATCTAAAATGTTAAAATTTTAAGATTAATGTTAAATTTGGGGAGGTAGTGTGATGGTAAAGGGCAGCCACTACCAAAACTGATTGGATCGATTAAGTCTACCTCTGAATAACAAAACAAACAAACAAAAATCAAGAAATAAACATCTTAACTACGAAGGTTTTGAGCATCACGGATCAAGTCAGAATCCATCAGCAAATCAATGATCTGACAGCAAAACAGACCTTTGAAAACCCTCCACTGTCTGCAAGAAAGAGTGGGCTAAGTTAATGCAAAGCAACTTTAGACTCATTACAGATCCTTGCAAACACTGGTGGAACAACCAGTTATTAAGGTGCCAGGTATACTTGGATTTTTTTGTATTTTGATTATATAACAGTTAAAAAACACTACAAAAATTATTTATCTGAAACTACTTAATTATCTGAAAGTGTGGAAAAGTGTAATTTGTTAGGAGGCAAATACTTTTATTGCATTTTACATTTTTTTTTTTTAATAACAGTTGTCTTTTCAAGTAATTTGTCTCTTTTTTTTAATCTTCCACACAGTCCCAGCCATTTTAAGGTGAAATTGTCTTAGTCTTACAAGTATTTATCCCTTTATCTGGTAAACCAGCAGCTAAAAACACTGAGTTGTCCTTTGTAACCTGTGCAGATTGTTCCAGCCACAGTTCATTCCACTTTGACAAACCAGGCATTTATTAGCTTGTTATGAGCTGAGAGAGCAGTAGCCAGATGGTTGCTGTTGATCTTGTTAGAAAGGTAGATGTGAGAAGACCATTACCTGGATCACAGCAAACACACACAACACTAGTTAGGTAATCTGCACATCCATCTCTGTACCTGCTGCTCCTGAAGATGTTAAGTGGTAGATAAGCCTAAATAATTCTTTACATCATGAATAAAATGGAAACTTACATATGTGTTTAGATAAGGATAAGAGCATATAGTAGCAGGGACGCATGGGTTTGCATACTAACTGGAAACTGATTGCAAAGCTGATGCATTGGGTAATAAGCAAAGTTGGTAATGATTAACCAAACATGTTTAACACAATCTGTCAGAGCTGGTTGCTAAGAGCTGCAGAGCAGGAAACAGCATGGTTGTATAGCCGGAGTGGGCTTATATAAACTACCATGGCCTGTTTATAAATGTCAAAAGTGATGCCTTACCTGATGCAGCATGAGCCCGGTTCACCTGAACAAAGGTCATGGCGATTGTTCGATGAATGGAAAATGACAGATTGTAAATGCATGCTCACATGGCTCCCCTCCTGTATTTTTGCAGAGGTCTGTGCTTCAGTGCTCTCAGCAAACTGAAGGTTTTCAGGTACTAAAAAAAACATGGTGGGCCTGAGAAACCGTTCTACATGGGAACCGTTGTTACTAAAGGCCTCCTGCATCAAGTCATGTACCAACGGCTGCTCCATGGGCATCACTGCACACCTCACATATGCCAATGCTGACACAGATTCTGTGGAAGGTGAGCTTTTCTTCAGCTCTTAACGCCAAAATTAAGTTAAGACTTTGTGGGACAACAAGATAAGTTGAAAAACAGATCTTCTATAAATATAAAATTGCCATTTAAAAAAGGTAAAGATATAAGTACTAATCCATGAGGAACATCACAGATATGATCTTTTCTAGAAGACCATGTAATCTATTTTTGATTGATTTTACTTCATTATCTCCACATTAAAGTTTGTACATGGAGATCATTTCACAAGCTGGTACTGCTGCCTTTTTGTCTTCAGGTGTGTTTGTATATCCTCTTGAGGAAAAAGAGGTTGTGGTGGGCTTTGAGGCCATGATTGCAGGGCGGCTGGTGGGAGTGCAGATCCAGAGCAGAGGGAAGCTGAAGGACTGCTGTCTGGATTGTTGTCCTGGATCTGTTCTCGATGGGCAATGTGGGAGCAGCCAGGAGTGGACCTGTTGCTGCGGGATCTCCGCCCTAGACATACAATGCACCAACGGTGAGGAGTACTGTAAAAGGACAAAATTCGGTCATTAGTTTGTCATCTACTTATCTTACATGGCTTTTGAATGATCAGAGAATTTTCAGATATCTCCTTTGGTCAACCGCAACATGCTGAAGAGAGTTATTTATTTGTAAACATTAATAGGAAAAAAGTTATAATACCCTGTATAAATCAAGACTCGATAAGAACATCTAAACCAACCTTCATAGTTGGTCAGCAGTTTTTTACAGGTCTTAGAACAGACTTTTGCCCCAAGTCCTCTGTAGGGGGACAAAACCTTCTGTTCAATTAAGGTCTGGGAACTCATCGGGCCCTTTTGTAACCTTAATGAGCTTCCTCTCCTGTGTTGTCTTGGATATTAGTATGTATTGCATCAAAAGCATGCTGGAGATTCACAGCACATTTTAAAAGCATGCTGGAGATTCATAGCACATCTTAAGTTTCCTGCTGGTTAAAGACAATTTCCCTCTATGGTTGTATTCCTTATTGGTCCCTTATTATGTGGAAGTCAATTTGTACCTTAATGATAAAAACAGTGTCAAAGGATAATAACTCCATCTCCATGTTTGGCTATGGAAAAGGTGTTCTTCAGTGTAAAGTTGCTTGCAAGGGTGTCATTATCTCTGCATTTGATCATAGAAAACATCCCAGGACTTTGTTGCTCTGTGTAAGTGTTTCATTCCTCAGAAAACAACTTGTTTCGAATACATTTCTTAATGACTATGGTCAAAACTACCTTTGGGTCATCTCCTCTCTTAGTTTTTGACTAATTCCTTATCTCACATAAGCAATGTTTGATAGTCACCATAGTTTCCATATCCTAGAATCAGATGAAAAGTTGTCACCAAGCTTTTTGCTAATTGGTGTTTCAGCCCATTCCAGACCAGCAGATCTTTTACCTGAGATCCTTTGTCACTGCTTTTGTTGCATAGTAGAGTGGTTTATATGGAAGGGACCATTTGGACAGAGAGCAGACATTTCTTTTTTTAATCTACCTTAGTCTACTGATTATTACCTGTGATATGTATTCCTCGCTGGTAAATAACCCAATATCTGTGGAAGATAGAAACATTGCTTGTTTATAGGATATCAAATGTTTATTTCACTTAAAAACATGCAAATCATTTTCATTTAGGCCTTTTTCAATTTTTTAGCTGAAATAATATTGTTCCACTGTAATTTTAGAACATTTTGAGATTGCTCACTTCTTTATGAGTTAGCTGACCTAAAATAACAGCAGAGTTTCTATATTTTAATAATGTGAGAATTTTGGTTTAAGGACACCTGATTTTAGATGAAGACCTGGAAAGAACCACCTTCATAGTGGGTTGTGGTGTCGTTGGCCCCATGGATATAGTGTCTGTCATCATCAGCACCACTCTAGAACTCCCCACGATGGAAAATGGAGCAATCCGCATCGTCTACCCAACACTGCTTACTCCGGTGGTAACTGGCCAGATGAATGCAAGCAAGAGTGAAAATGGGGGAAAGTCTGAGGAAACAGGGTAACTATAATTACTTATTTCCACATAGAACGTGACTAGAATTTAAAACCTGATAGATTTATCATGAACACATAGCTTTCTGTAAATAACTTTTCTTCTTAGGGCCACCAGCTGCTTTGGGGCTACCTCAGGAAAACAGGATCGGGCCTTGGACTCTGAGCAGCAGTGCTCACATGGCCTTTTTACCAGTCCTGCAATCAACCTGGCCCCATATGAACTCAACTTCCAGCTGCTGGTTAGAGGCGCCTGTCTGCTGGCTGGTACTGCCTGTCTTCCAGAATAAGTCTGATTTAGAGACAGTCTCATTTTAAAATGTAATTATTTAGCCCCCTAGGAAAACCTGAGACACAAGATGACCAGAGCTAAAGATGTGAAGCTCAAAGAGGAAAGAATAACAGTAAAATATTACCCAGCACATTCTGACCACAGTGACATGCAGAAGTGTTCACAATCTTCAGTTTCTCTTCATATTTAAAAATGTCACCTGATAGCTAATCTATTTCATAAGTATTCAACCTTCTTTACTCTAATACACATAATCTTACCTTACATTATTCTGCTCTTTTTTTACTTTTTAACATTAGTACAACATCAACAAATCCCAGGAACACATCAAAAAATAGGGGTAGAAATTTTGAATTTTTCACAGAAAACTGTATAAACCCTCTTCTAAAATGGAAAAAGACAGAGCTGTTCAAAAGCTAACCTACTGTACAAACAAATAACCTTATTCCTGAAAAGAGAGGTTAAGAAAATGAAACGTGACTGAAAGGCCCATCTCTGAGGCAGGAGCAAAGATCTACCACTCAGAATCTGTTACCAGGACAACTGCGAGTCATGCCCTCTACTGTTATGAAAAAGCGTCAAGAAATCAGAAAGAAAGGCCATGTTAGGGATGCAGCAAACATGGGAGGAGGAGCTCTGCTTATATGAGGGGCTGGAGATTTACTTTTCAGCAGGACAGCAACCGTAGAAATACAGTCTTAGCTTCAATGGAATGGTTAAGGTTACATGATATTTTTGTTTAGGAAAGTCCAGCTACAATTTCAGAAGTACAGCAACTCAGATCAACTGAAGGCAACACTTTCACATTAATAATAATTGAACTTTATTGATCTCACATTGGCGATATTTGCCTCTACATTTAGATCATCCCCTTGGGGAGCAGTGGGGTGCCCGGGGAGCAGTGTGCAGTTAAGGCTCTTTGCTCAGGGACCCAGAGTGGCAATCTGTGGGAGTGGGGCTCAAACTCAGACCCTGAGAATTCCAAGCTTTATATCCTAACCGCTAGTTATTTGTCATAAACATTTAAAACCATATATGAGCTTTTTTAACCTGTCATGGATGCATTAGCAATGAACTGAGCATCCCCTAAAATGGTAATAATGATAAGCTTTGTCTCCTAGCTGACTCCTTGATGTTCTCTTAGGTTTGGAGAGTCCTACACATGCTCTGAGAGCTGATGCTGACCCGTCCGCCCAAAGTGCATCTGCCACCTACATCACTTTAGCTCAGGAGCATCCGTATGACAGACATATAGAGATCATTTTACACCTTAGTGGTGAGTAAGGCAGCATTCCCAGCAAAAGGTGTGGAAGCACATCCTGATTTCTAAGTGCTGGATGGACTTTTTAAAGCATGTGACCCTTCCACAGAACCCCACAACCCGCTGGTCATTCTGGAGAAAGGCCGCCTGTCCTTCAGCCAATATGAACAGCAGATCTGCTCACGCCGCGATTATATCCGATACACCCGCAAAGATTCCGATCCTGAGAGGAGGGTAAAATGCATTCTCTGCAAATTACTTTTGTTCTTTACTTCTTTTTCGCACATGTCTTTTTTATCCATATACATCTATCCAAACTCTATCCCTGTGTGCTAATGTTACGGTTCTGAAGCTGGAGTATATCCGAAGGCGATACCACAAGGATATTCTCTGCAGCCCTGTCCTAATGCTCAACTTCTGTCCTGACCTACTGTCAGAACATCTGGAGCTGCACAAAGCTACCAGAGAGCTGCTGTTCCTGATCGATCGAAGCGGCAGCATGAGTGGCACCAACATAAATCGTGTGAAGGTGAGAAAGAGGGTAAAAAATTATTTATTTCAAATGTGTCTTGATCTGACTCCAAGCTATCGGTTATTTGCTGTTTCCTTAGGAGGCCATGGCGGTGGCCCTGAAGAGTCTTCCTTCTGGTACGATGCTCAACATTGTTGGTTTTGGGACCACCATCAAGCCTCTGTTTACTTCCAGCAAGCTCTGCAATGATGTTAGTTTTACACAATGATGATTGTTAGGAATGTTGGTCAAAGTTTGTCAAATTTATTATCGTCTCTGGTGAAAATGTGTAAAAGCCTTTAAATGAACTTAGATTGTATTGCCAGAACTTAAACAGGAACTATGAGCTTCTGTCAGAAAATTATAAATTCAGTTTCAATCCAGTTTATTTATATAGCGCCAATTCACCACACATCATCTAAAGGCACTTTACAAATCAACTAGATCATACAGTCAAATTGATTCAAAGTTTTCGATGTAAGGAAAATCTGTTAAATGCATCGACTCATTGACTCGAAGGCAATCCCTCACACTAAGCATGCTTGTACCGACAGTGGAGAGGAAAACTCCCTTTCAAGAGGAAGAAACCTCCAGTAGAAACAGACTCAGTGTGAGCAGCCATCTGCTGAGGCCGACCGGGGTTCAAGGAGACGGAAAAAAGACAGAAATAGAAGCAGAGATACAAAAGGCAACTGTTAACCAGCTCCAGAGGCGGCCCCATTCAGGAAAAACACAGCCAGGTAGACAAGCTGCAAACCAGCTCCCATGTCAGAGGATAAAAGAGAGCACATTCAGCCAGCCACAGTCAGAGAAACAGAACTATTCTGAAACACAGGCCAAGCCCGAGCATCTATAAACAAAGATGTTGATGGCTGCAGCACAGCTGATATTTCTCTCCAGGATGGTGTCACAGTCAGTCATGTTGATTTTCTTTTTTTAAGTTAAAAAACAAAAAACAATGTTAGTTTTGGATGACATACATGATGGGCAGGTAAAACAAATCTTAAATACAGAGGATGACCTCTTATGATGTAGGACTTTCTCTTCCAACAGCATGGAAAACCTTGTTAAAAACCTGATGACTTATATTAGGAACTTTAAAACCATAATTTGGTCTTTAATAAGAAAATGACTGAATACATATATATACATATACATATATATATATATATATACATATACATATACATATATATATATATATATATA